GCGCCCTCGTCAGCGAACCGCGAGAACGATCTACAGTAGTTGCTTGCAAACTCGAGCACGAAAAAGAAATAACACCCGTCAAAGATAAAACAAAAAATGTTGGATATAGGAAGACTGATAAAGAAAAAAAAAGAAATTTTATATAGAAAGGTTGATAATGATAGAAAAAAGAAAGGAAAATGGTGAGATATAGAAGGGCTAATAAAGATACAGAATTTCCGAAGAAGAGAGTTTGGGGAGGGAAGAAAGTAGGAAAAGTCACATGTCCGGGGACACTGAAACATGCTGGTCGGTTCGTATTGGTAGCCTGCCAAAGCGGCGTGGCGATTGGTTGGTGGGTTCCAGGGCAAAGTGGATCAGCCGGCTCCAAAAAACTCGTGCCACTGGAAAAATCGTGAAACGCGGCACGGTACAGTGTCGCTTGGCCGGTAAATATTGCCCGGTGTGTCCGTGGACACTTTTTCTTCGCTGTCTCGCCGCGTTCCTGTGCTCATAAACAAAGTAATGACGCGCCAACGCGAAACCCAATTCCCGGATTTCGACGATTTTCGCGGAGCTGGCTAGTTTTCGATTGTGTGCACATACACGCCCGGCGTAGATGCACACACAGACACACGGGAACACGGGGCGGTTGGGAACTGAGTAGAAGAGGAGAGGACGGTAAAAGCTACCACGACACAGCCTCCGGGCTGCATGTAAATCACCGCGACGACGACGACGACGACACCGACGCGCAGAGACTTGTGTGTCCCTTTCCAAAGCTGCTGCTTGCTGCTCATTCCCCCCCGTCTGCCCATTAGATTCCCGCTAAACAAAGCTGTTCGTCGATCGTCCGTGGTGCCTCCGCTCGGACAACTTTTCCGATCGTACTTTTGCCGCCGGTTGTGTATTACGCGCGATGTGAGAACTGTTCGAATTATCCATTAGACGACGCAAGGGGAGATAAGTGTCTTTAGGAGCGTTTTAGGTATTGTGCACATTTTTGGCGAAACAAAAGTCCCAGAGACTCCGTTGATTCTATCTTTTTTGTTTTCTCCCATTCTATTTAGAACTCAACATTGTTATATTAAAATGAAATTAATACAACCAACCACTCTATTCTGTAATGTTCGTTAGGAAAATGTGTAATAAAGGTAAATCAGTAAGAAAACTTGTCAGAGATGTTCTATATTTATGTATAAACTAACTGGAAGTTCAGGAGTTTCGTAGACTCCATATCAGGCTTTACGTCTCAAAAACCGCGTCTCGACAGTAGAAGGTTAAGTGTTTTATTTGAAATGTACTTCAAAGGACAGCTGATTGATAGAAAGCAATGTAAACAATCGCTGCATTACGTTTATACGACCCTTTTTGTTAACAATTGGACTTTTTTGTTACACATAAATGTAATATTGCTTATCTGATTAAAAAAAAATAATATTGCGAAATATAATACATATTTAAACTGGCAATTTAAAAATGTCGAGTGTGATACCTGCGAATAAAATTGACGTCGAGTCATACTCGACAAAGGAGTGCATAGGATTAAGAACGTGAAAGTGTATTCAGGAAGTACATGTTAATTCTTAATTTCGACAGAGTCTAATTAAGTTTACTGTCGTTAAAATGTTGAATACAGGGTCAATCACGAGAAACAGAACACCTAAATATCTTTGTTTGCATTGAAGATAGAAGAAAATGTCAAAGAGGATAGTTGTACTGTTCAAGGGCGCAAATATTATGATGCAAAGAGATCTTCTGATTGACGTTCTCTACAGGGTTTTTGTTTTTAAAGGTCATCGATGGTTTTTTAAATGGCAGCATATATTTTTGACTTCACAGACCTGATGCCAAGGCGAGTTTAACGATATAGGATACTATGAGCTTGAAATACCAAATTTATATGAATCTTTGTATAGATCAGTTTTTAACTTTTTGTGGTAAAAAGTTATTAATTATTCAACGAAAGTTTTTTATAATTTAGATAATAGTCTTTGAGTTTTGAGGGTCTCTAATAAAATATTGTTTGTGTAGTGTTTACTTTAAAAAAAAAGGGTTAAAACAGCCCTATTTGGGATTGTAACATTCTTCTTGTCAAATACAATAGTATAATTTTAATTTTAATTTTAGTGACGTTCTTTCAGATAAAAATAGTGTACAAATTTTGACATTTGAAAATAATTTAAAAATTTGTTGATTCTTTTTATAATCATAATATGACATATTTTGCCATTCAATAATCTACAGACATATGCATATATGAAAATCACATACATTCTTTCTCACAAATTGTGTATTTACTTATTTGTATAGATAGGTACATATGCCAATAATTTTCCTCTTTTAATATTAAATATATTTTTACGCTGAAATTTGTCGAATAGTTTTAGCGTCTTATCTATAATTTTAACATGGTCTATCATTTTTATTCTTTACCCTTTGACGAAGAGGTGGAGAAATAATTTAATATGATATTATGTTAATCTCCTTGAAGTTATACAATGCATGAAATCCTCTATATATTCATTTATCATTTGCTATTACTGATAAGCAACATATTTTTAGTTTTGAGAAATATTGAAACTGTGTAAGAACAACATGAATATGAAAATATGTAAGCGTAGATTATTCGTCACTTTGTTTCCAAGGTATATAACGATAATTCTAATTTATTCGCAATTATCAATGTAAAATAGTTGACAAACAGAGCGATACGAAAAATTGTGACAAATTTGTATAAAAAACATTAGTAACATTTCTCTTTCTCTAAAAATGATTTCAAAATATAACTCTTAGAAGGTATACTATTATTTGTATGAAAATTAGAGATTCTATTTTACATCAGTGGAAGAAATAATTACACTAGAAGAATTAAAAAGAGCGTTGCTTTTAAATGTGAAGTATTTAAACAGATTTAAATAAACAAGTTGTTTTCTTAACTGTTCTGTTACAAGTTGCAAGTACCATATTAATTCAAGCATTTCAGATTTCGCTTTTACTTATTCTGACGTCACTATTGAATTAGTTTGAACATATGAATTGGTTTATGTATTTAATTCAACTATGCTGTAACATTTATCTTTTCATTCGGAAAAGTCTTTTATCACTTCAACAATATATTATTTCCATTTCTTTCTTTTTTTTTAATCAATTTGTGAAACCGCCCTTCCGTGTCAGCATTTCTTGATGATCAGGGGCAGATCAATAGATCCATAGAGGAGAGATTTCGATCTCGGGAAAATGGGTTTCGCCAGAGGAACTTTTCAATATTAAGAATGAAGAAGTTGGTAGAAAATCATTCTCGAAGTGATTTTAAATGCATGGACAGTTTCGAACAATTCACAACGATAGATCACGCGTATAAATCGCTCAAATTTTATAAATATGTATGTGACTGATACTTGATGTTCGCTTTGAGTTCACGTAGAAATAAACAATTGTTTAATTTTCAAAAATTTTATCCTCACTTGCTCTTTGACTTATATATGTATAGGGCGAGTCATGAAGAACAGAACACCTGAATATTTCTGTTAGGATTGATGACAGAAGAAAACGTCAAATCAGCTACCACGCTGTGAAATTAGAAACTAGAAGCAGATGTTCAGTCGTGGCTGCAAAATCTTTTGTTTCGGTGTTGTAAAATTAAAAAAATTTTTCTAATTTAGCGTTTTAAAAATTAAGTACGCAAAGGACAAGAGTTGAAGCTTAAATTAAGGTGCAAGTGTGTCGAAAAGCACCAGCAGCACTGTGCGAGTAAATTTTCAAAGCGCCTGTAGTCACTAACAGCAATGAAAGGGTTAAAAAAAATACCGATAACCTTCAAATAACCTTGAAGATAACGTCAAACAAAGGATCTGTTTATATCCCCATACGTAGGCCCTTTGAACAGTACAACCTTTCCTCCTTGACATTTTTTCCCATCTTCGATCCTTGCAAAGATATTCAGGTGTTTTGTTTCTCGTGACTCACCTTGTATATCAACTTTCAGATAACATTTCTAAGTAAATTTACAAATGATAAAATGGTTACAGCTTAATACCATTTGAAACAACTATACTTTATACCGTTCATTTTGTTTATACTTATTAAAACAAGCATGAGAGTTTTTGTTTTTTTTTTCATAAGATGAAACTTTGTCGTTTATTGTTATAAATTGTGATTGTTTCAAAATGGTACAACTATTTTTGACATATCCGTCATCGCGTTGCAGCGTTTATCTTTCTAAAATTGCCAGAATTAGATACCTTTGATATTCCATACTAAAGATTGACAAACTATATTTATTCAGGTGCTATATCCTAATCGATCTAAGTGTGCCTAATTATAAATCCATTTCAAATCTTAGTATTTCAACAGTATGACAAAATGTGAGAAATGAAAATAGAAGTACAGATAAATGATTTTCCAAGATTATTGTATTTTCCCTTACTTTTTCGCAGGAATCCAAATCAAACGTATTATAACTATTTGTTCATAATATAAGTAACCATAAAATTTACGTTGCCAAATATGGAATCTATGGTTTAGTTAGTTTAATAGTATAACGATTACAAATATTTAATTCTTGTTAATACTAGACTGTACTAAATGTATTTTACTCAACAATTTCTTTATAAAAATAACACTCTGTTCATTTTATTCTCAAAAATTTTGCAAATGAACACTGACCCCATCTCTTCTTTATTCTTCTTTCTTTCGACTAATCCATCAAAAATTAATTTTAACTTCACTTTCACTGATAATCAATATCAGTATTGTAGATACAATACGTTTAATTTAAAAAAATATAAGGAAATTATTCAGTCGCAAACTGATAAAAAATGGTACAGTAATAAAGGACAATATTCTAAAATTCTCAATCTCTTGTACAACCCCAAACAACTGTCTAACTAGTTAAATTAGGCTAGTCTATCCTTAAATTTTGTAAATTGACTACAATAAAATGGAAAGTAAATCGATTCAAGTATATCTATAAAAGGAGTAGAGTAATGCCAATGCAACTTCGTTTTTTCCTGTTACAGAAGTCCCAAGTGTCGAGGACGAACGGGAAGACCGACGAGTACTTGTGATAAGCTGTAGAAATAATTATACCGGACCATGGCCACGTTACGTACCATACCCTCAAACGTACTTCAAGGATGCCAATCTACGCCTGTGCAACTGTGGTGCGAGAATGACGCCATAAATGTGATCAACGTCGGGGATCGAGCATCGTCGCATCGTTGCTACCGTTTCACGTGACGTGACGCTCAAAACGGAACGGAGAAAGGAATACAAACTCTGAACGGTCGATTTCAGTGGGATTTTGCTGATTTACAATCGTTTACATTTCTTCGTTGCAACGTTTTCAAGATGAATGGATCGTGAAACCATATGTATTCGTTGTTTTCACGATAATCTCACCGGATGTACACCTCTTGACGGACTTGTTCGTAAGGTTTCCCTTTTTCTTGTTTCACTTACAGCACGATCGACGAAATTTGGTGCTCCGTGCCGAGAGGATGTGTTAATCGTAATTGTAGCGCGAATATGCTTATCTGAGAATGTAGTATAGATAGAAAAAAAGGAATGTGTGAAAGGAATGAAAGCAAACTGGAACGCTTTTGCACTCAGAGGTTCGGTTGTCCTATGTGAAATTTATGAGTTTAGAATGTTTAGATCGGTTGGAGATTATGGTTGCTGATTTTCAACTGTTTATAGGAAAGAAAATAGAAGAAAAATTTTAAAAAAAGATTTTTGTGATACCAGTTTTATAGGTCATCGAAAGGTTCAAGGTTGACTTTATAAGAAATAATATAGTCCCTTCAAAATATTTTCTGAAACGGCAATTCTTTTTTTAAATGCTCGCGTATTTCTAAATAAAACTCAACTTGCCTTTTCAGACATTTTTAACGAGCATTCAACGTAATGTTCAGTCGTTATCAAATCGAAAATTTGTATCTGTTTAGACTGTATCATAGTACAATCTTGTTTTTCTCTCTCTCTTTTTAGATCTGTAAGAATTTCTTGCGTAATCGCATTAACGTTTGGCCTATTATCAGTTTTATTGTACAAATCAACCATAAGTTCCACAAGTGTTCGCCCGACGAGAAACCGAAGAGAGCAAGCAACAAACCGTCGATTCCTGTCAATCGCTAGATTATTCCGTTCAGCTCCTCTCGATATTTCTTGTTTCCTTTTCGTGACTTCCGCGCGACGACCAGCCGCAGCGTACGTATACGATCGAGAGAGGATTGTTGAAGCTGCAGCGTCACGTGGCACGTGATGCATTCTGCGATCTTCTCGCAGTTCCTTTGCAAAGGCGTCTCTTACTCGCGTCTTGGATCTCCAATAGTCGCAAATCCGTGCAGTTGTAATCGTTCGACGACAGACAAAAGTCGACGAACGTACGCGATTTCGTTTCTTCTCTTCTACATTCGCCGTCTCGATCGCGCGATTCGAGACGGGGAACGGATTCGGCAAAATCTGCGAACGGCGAACATCACGTTGGACCACTTGAAAAAAAAAAAAGAAAAGGACAAAAACGAACCAAATCCACTGTACATTTTATTTCTGTGTTTTTCTGTTTTTCGTTATTAAGAACACGCGACGTTGTTCGTTGCTCGCCATAGCACTGAAACAATCACGAACCGGAAGGGAAGAAGGGAAAATGATGGGTTAAAATAATAATGGCTGACGAAAGAACGGCGGCTCGCCGACGTTTTTGCCGTACGTACACGATCTCTGTTCCCCGTAAAAGTAACCTCATGTGCTCATATGAGAAACGGAGAAACGAATAAAATATTTACGAAGAGAAAGTGTGCGCAACTATCGCTACGAATTCTATATTGTATATGTATGATATTAAATATATATATGTATATACAGGGTGTCGTGTAACTGGTGGTGCATGAGAGAAGGTGCTGATTTTACATGAAAAATTGAATGAAAAATGTAGAATAAAATTTTTGCGTAAGAGGTTTAGTTTTCAAGAAAATTCTGTTTAAATGTTAGTCAAGTGCGGGTGCATTTAATTATCTCTCCGATTTATATTTGTACTAATATACGATACCAATGTTACGACAAGTATTGACGGATCCATTTGTTAACGATTTTCGGAATTTCAATTTACATTGCTAACCGAATTGTTGAAAATCACGTCCGTGTTAACGCGCACAAATCCTGGCTTCATGAATGGGAGAGCCGTGGACTGATGATACGTTATTTTGACGCTTTAATTACGTGAGAGCTTGTATGATTCTTTCTTTTAGCTGGCACATTTACACTATCTTCTGCGTAGACTATTTCTTTGTAAAATGTGACGTTACTATTGTTTGTCAAACGACAAGTGTGAGCAGAAGCAACAGTTTAAATTTAATTTTCTCGGAAACAACATCTCGTATGAAAAAATGTTATTCTATATTTTTGATTTAGTTTTTCACGTAGAATTACCATTTGTCCGCTTGTACCACCAGTTACATGAGACCCTGTATATACACAGATATAATATCATAGATATATGTATATGATATTATACAAGAATAAAAAAAAAATATTGAATATATTCTATAGAATATTGTACGTTCACTAATGTTATGTATAGTATACAAAAGAAAACAAATATATATATATAATTATGTGTATAATTATATATATACATAAACGGAGAGATAAGTATATAGGTTATGTATAAGATACACATAGATACAATTAACATTAAGTAAGCTGCTACAAGTAGACACGTCTAAAAAAATGGAGGGAGATGTTTTTAGTCACATGGTTAGGTATCGAAGTTTGATGCGATGACGAATGTTCATTTTGCACGGCTTCTTTCGTGTTTGTCGTGTCGTTTTAGGACAGAAAGGATGATATGTTGGTGCTTTTCGATAGGTGAACGTTTCCTTCTCGTTTCTTTCGTTGATTTCTTCCTTTTTTTTTTCTCGTCGACGATACAGTAATCGTTAGATCGATGTGCTATTTAGGTAGACACAGGGCTGAAAGTGTCGCAAATTCGTGTTGAACGAAACGACGTTGTTCTTCACAGAAATGCATTTCACGCTTCTAGCAAATACAAATATATTTCCCTAGAAATCAGTCAGAAAAAAAAGAAGAAAAAAAAAGAGAAGAAAACAAGTCCTTTCGTTCAAAGGCCATGTTCGCGGAAGGCATAATGAGGTATTTATGAAGATATTTCTTAATCGAGAATCAGCTAAGATCAATTGTTAAGGTACATCTCCGTCAATGTTATCCTGAAATGTCTGCATTGTTTGACACTATCAGCCCGACAAGTTAGGTCCTCTACGATGTTCCTTGAGGTTTACGAGGACCTAGTAGGCCGACTAGAAAGAAATGCGCGTGTTAAGACAAGTGTCTTTTACCATCGAAGAGCTTAGGCGAATTTAGTAGACTTTAGTCGATTGTCCGACGATAAAACGATACGCAGAAGGAAAATCGTCGGTTGTTGGCTACCGTATGCAGATCTTCGTGTCGACAAGCATAATCTAAACAACCTCTGAGAGTCTGAACTCGAGGAATAGGTTTGTATAGGTTTCGCGGTAGCCAGAAAATTCAAAGTATCTCAGATACCGTAGCAGAGGAGAAAGTCAATTTTATGGACAAATATGATTAAGTCTAGGGTAACCTATGCGCGTGCACGTATGAAAAACCGATAGCAGACCTCATTCGACTGAGAAACACGTTTGCTATAGGGGCCGGGTGACGAACAAGGCGAAACGCCAACGACGACTGTTGACCAACTGCTGACCAGCTGTTGCTACTGAACGTAAGCATACTTAGATCGTCTTAAGTTCTCGTTTGTTCACCGTCTAGCGATAGTTTGTCGCGTTTAAATAAGTTTGAACAGAAATGGAAACGCGTGGTCGTCTGTTGCTTAATTTCTGTTCTTCTTTATTCTATTCTATTTCTTTTTTTCTCTGTAGAATTCCACTAAAGCACTTTATAAACAGTTAAGTGTTTCAAAAATGTTTCATTTCTGTTATAATTATAATTTAATCGTAATATGTTAACACAAATTGATGTACATAAATTATTTATGATTTCGCTGAAATTAAAAAGTTACTAAGTGAACTGAAATTATTTACCATTGTAAACCTTGTCGATAATAATGATTAATAACTGTTTGATCAATTGAGTACGAATATTTTCCGACGTGTAAAAGAAAAAAGATAACAACGATGTGAAAGAATCGATTTTTAATTTATTTATTATATCGTAACGAACTAACATATTTACAAAATTCTTCCATTTATTTTCACTAATTGTGTATTCGACTAGCATTCGAATTCAAAGTATGTTCTGTTCAATTGTACATATGTTGTTATATAAGTGTAGTATTAAATTTATATATTAAATGGCATAGAACGATTAGAAATAATATTTTATGGTACACATGAATATTATACATACGAATCATGCAATTGAATAAAGAAATAAAGATCATGCTTTCAGAAATTACAATTTTTTAATTGAAATCAATTACGATTAACACCAACAGACGACACGATCGTGAGTTCCTCGTTCGAGTACACACTACGTGCTATATATATAATATGTGTATATATATATATACAGGGTGGGCCATGTATAATAAAACAAACCACCTAATTATCTTCTGTAATTACGATGGTACAAGAAAATCTTTATACGTAATTGAAATGATTTCAAAGGGTGAATAAAATGGAAGACCAATTTTTTTATAAATGCCATTTTCTTCTGTTTTTTTTTTCTTTTACAAGGTCACACATGTTTTTCTATATGAATGTATATATTTTGTTCTACTGTACAATGAGCAGACATTTATGTGCATTTAAACGTGCATAATAATACGACCTTGGATTCTAAAATTTTAAGTCAAATGTGAAACTTTCTTTCGTTGTTTGCCATTTTTTCCATTGAAAACAATTTTTCATCCATCTTAGTCACCTTTCGAAACGATTTAAATTACACATAAAAAGTTCCCTCGCACCACCATACCTGGAGAAGATAATTAGATGGTCTGTTTTACATGGCTCATCCCTGTATGTATACACGTATACATATACACATATATATAGAAACTGCCATTTACTAAGTGCAATACGTATGTACAAAATGAGAGCGTCAGTCGTCGTTTCGGT